GTAAGGACGAAGAAACGAACGACCTACTTACTTAGTTGTAGTCGTCGTACTTACGTTCGTNTNTNTGTTGTGTNTATAAGGGCAGTAAAGAACGACCTACTCTGTTGATGCATACGTTTGCTATTCTGGTTGTGTATATAAGGGCAGTAAAGAACGACCTATCTGCTGATGCATAAGTTTGCTATTCTGGTTGTAGTATATAAGGGCAGTAAAGAACGACCTATCTGTTGATGCATACGTTTGCTATTCTGGTTGTGTATATAAGGGCAGAACGACCTATCTGTTGATGTATAGGTTTGCTATTCTGATTGTGTGTATGAGAAGGACACAACAAGCAGTCATGGAGGCAGCAAAGCGGGTCTATTTATAGACATACGAGTGTTTTTGCTAGTTGAGTACTTGGTGTAAGTAGATAGGTTTGCATTCGAGACTTGCCGCTGCTGACGGGATTAGATCATGCATTCGCACGCAATGTATAATTCTGACAGATGCAAATAGTAGTTATAATTGATAGTTCATTTATATAGGTTTTCTATATACACGTAGGTGTATATATAGTGATGCATGCGAGTTGGATAGAAGAGGGTAGAGACGAAACAGAAAGTAGTCATAATAGTCACAACCATATATACATACCTACAAACTAGAACCTTCCTGTAGTCGTATATACGTATACATACGGCTTTCTAAATATTGGTTACTAGTAAATATACCAACATTCAGACATGCACATACATGTGTACTTTATATTCGTGTAAAAGTGCATATGCGTTTTGTGTGACCGCACATATATAAAGATACGTCAAAGCCAAACAGAGGTCCGGCTAATTGCACATTATGGAAACAAAGTATCAGAAGTCACTGAAATAAATCAGAGGTATGCCATTAGGATGCCACCGACCAATCCCACTGATCTTGTTTATTAACATCCAACTACAGACACCATCTCTGGCCTTTTGCTTGGTATCTTCTAGCTTTTTCATACTGCAGCCACATCATTTAACTATTCTGGGTAACCACAGGTCGTATCAACTGTTCATGACCGGCCCTGGCGAATTGCTATCGTTCTGCTATGTATTGATAATAAAGGTAGGTCAGTACACCAGGGCCAAAGGGGATGCACACAACCCACAGAACTTAACACCACCTTCATCACAGTAACACAATACGTTTAACTACCGCCCCTGATCTGCACAAGAGTACGACTGAGCCACACCCGCCCACGAACACATCGGATACCTAACAAACACCCACAAATCGAAACTACAGCCACATGCACACAGGCCATATACCTACCAAAGCTGCCTCGGAATCCATAAGACCGAATATAGCACAGAGCAGCGCCTACAAGGCATGTACCGAACATAGCACAGAGTAGAGCTCACAAGGCATGTACCGAACATAGCACAGAACAGAGCCCACAAGGCATGTATCGAACATAGCACAGAGCAGAGCCCACAAGGCATGTACCGAACATAGCACAGAACAGAGCCCACAAAGCATGTACCGAACATAGCACAGAACAGAGCCCACAAGGCATGTACCGAACATAGCACAGAACAGAGCCCACAAGGCATGTACCAAACATAGCACAGAACAGAGCCCACAAGGCATATGTACCGACAAAACAGCCACACGCAGACAAAGCAAACCACTAGCGCGCGAAGGGCCTCAGAGCACACAATGAAGTGGGCAAGGGAACCCTGGTCACTTGGTCACCACACATCGCCTTGGATAAACAAAATGGGGAGATATATCCTGGACAGGCAGATTAGCAGCACGTGTACATATACCAATGCACTACCAAAGGAAACGCCGAACACAAAAGAAAAGAAGAAAGACGGACGCTTATGTACTGGATATACGACCCAATCAGCACATGTACATATATCAATGCACTATCAAAGGAAACGCCGAAAACAAAACAAAAGAAGAAAGACGGACGCTTTTGTACTGGATGTACGACCCAATCAATCTAATAGTACAATACACAACAGCAGCGAAGGGACAAACTCATTCATCAGACCAATTGGACCGTAACAAGAATTCAATAAAGTATAAAACGGATGACATACGCGGATACATTACGGTATGTGACGCACAGAAGACAATTTTGCCGTACAGAGAAGCAAAGGGAGACACGCGCACACACCGGAGAGTCAAAGCCCCACTTCCGCCGCAACACCAGCGCTCGCATGCGGAACCTATCCACCAGACTGCCAAAAGAATCAATTGCCGGACTATTCAAATGAACACGACGAAGAAGAAAAAAGAGGTCAGTGATATATATATATATATATTATTGATATAGGGATAGTAAAGGGAAGGCGCATACGGCAGACTGCCAAAGGAATCAATTGCCGGACTATTCAAATGAACACGACGAAGAAGAAAAAAAGGGGTCAGTGATATATATATATATTGATATATATATATATTGATATAGGGATAGTAAAGGGAAGGCGCATACGGCAGACTGCCAAAGGAATCAATTGCCGGTATAAGAACATTAGGATTACACAGTACAAATATTCAGTGCAGTGAGTGACACTATCACAAAGAGTCAACGAGACTATCAACACAATGGACTTGAAAAGCAAGGCTTCAATGATGTGAAAGACAGGTTGGTATATAGCAAATGTGGGATACTTGGTGGGTTTACAATCTAATTGTGAGGTACAAATCTCAGTCCAACTCTGACGCCTTGCGCTAGATGGATGGGTACTTGACTCTCCGTTACAAACTCGGAAGGAGGGTATCAGACAGAAGCGTCTGTGTTAACAATAGCGGAGATTGCAGTATATGCCTATATATATATATATATATACGCGCTGACTGATCCTGATCTATAGGGGTTTCCCATCTGTGTGTACTATCGCACATGGCGTATAGAACATCACTGTTCATTTCAATGGAAGCACACCATTCACAGAGCATGCCTTCTATACACCAATACACTCCATCTGGGCACACACCTGTACGCATAATCCCCGCATACTCTGTTATCTTCCCTCAACTACACAAACCCTGTTCCTTTCGAGTACAGCACACGCATACATCGCATGAGGGTACTTCAATGAGCGTCGTGTGTGTGTGAGGGGTATGCCATTCCCAGGGGCAGGACAGGGCCACACCTCTGTAATCACACATGCCTAATGTCTACACACTGTACGTACACAACCACGCAAATCATCTACAACCAGGTCACCACACAAACAGACACACACACATCAGCTAGACGCATAACACACACACACCATCCATGGACACACGGACACATAGCCTACCGAGCATCAATAAGCGTAGTGGGGGGCATGCCGTTCCCAGGGTCGTGGGCGTAGAAGTCGATGACATAGCGCACCTCCACTTTAGGCCCATCCGCAGGGCCCCGTTCTATGACCCAGTCATGTCGGTCAAACGGTGCTTGTTTACCCATCCATGTGTTGAAACGTGCCTGTGGATGGGGTGTGTTGTTAGTGTTAGTGATGGTGTTAGTGGTAAGTGTTAGTTTAAGCTGAGTAGATTTTATCCATGTTTTGAAACGTGCCTGTGCATGGGGGTGTGTTGATAGTGTTAGTGATGGTTTTAGTGGTAAGTGTTGGTTCAGGTCAAGTATATATTATCCATGTGTTGAAACGTGTCAGTGAATGGGGGTGTGTTGTTAGTGTTAGTAATAGTGTTAGTGGTAGGTGTTCGCATAAGTTGAGTATATTGCATCTGTGTCGACGGTGTTTGAATACAACCCATTCGGCTTGTATGCCCATGTCTGTGAATGGAGGTGTTTGCCAGTGACAGCGAAAGTTACGTATTGTGGCTGTATGTTAACTTCGTTTTTCTTCTTCCAGATATGCGTGAACAGCGCCAATAGCACGAGTTATTTCCTTGATGGTAGCATAGGCCGAGTGAGTTGTATCCGTGCGTGGAGGTGTGCATACAACACATTCCTCTGGCATACCTCTCATGTATTGCAACACGCCTACATACGGATACGTATATTGATACTAGCACAAAATGGTCGGGATTGTTTATGTACGCCGAAACAAGCACACATCACATCCATCTGGACACAACCCTGTAGTCTACCTATAACACGCTCAATGTAACAGTGGTTCAGCGATCTACAAGCAAGCATAGAATACTGTGTTCTCGAGTTAACGCGTCAAGACGAACAAAACATCCTCCGTGACAGCTGGCTGATGACACGTAGTGACACACGTTATTCATATGAACGAGCACGATGGTTGTCTGCGCGTGCGTACCAGACACCTCACAGTGAAATACAACCACAGAGGTGTGCCTACGGGACGGTAGTGCCACACGCCCACAACGACTGACACACCGACAGATGACCGTGGTAAGAGTTTGAATCAAGAACAACTCAACCTATCAACTCAATCTATGTGCATGTGGTACCACGTACAACAAAATGGGACATAACAGCCCGGAATCTGCTCGACACTGTGACTTTGGCGGAGCTTTGTCCAGAAAGCAGGTGCCCTGAGCACAGGGAGCCTTCAGCAACACAAATGAAACCGCAATTCGTAAACAAGGATAGTACAAACTATAACCATCCCTCACAATGACTACAACCGCTTACAAACTGCATGTCACACACACTTGCACACCAGTTGCTGCGTTAAATCAACATCTCACACACCGTGTGCCACATACTTTGGGTGTCAGAGTGGTGGGCTTGCCCTCGAATGACTTGAGTGTAGGCGCGGGAGGCGGAGGTCCTGTCACGTGGCGAGTGTGAGGGTCAAAATTCGAAGCGTGTGTCTGTATATATATATATATATATATATATATATATATATATATATATATATGTGAGTGTGTGTGTATACATATATGTGTGTATGTATGTGTGTGTGTATATATATGTATATATATATATATGTGTATATATATATGTGTGTGGGTGGGGGGGGGAGGGGGTGCTATGCTCGATATTCAAAACATCGGATAAACAAAGGGCCTATACATGTGGGGTAAAAGGTCTGATCGACGCGCGCAATGTGTTTTAGGGTTTTTAGGAAACTGAGGGTCTTCGATGTTCGGACTATCGAATTGCTGTGTGGGAATATACTTGAGGCAGAATCCGTAACCATATACCCGTCTGAGCTGTACAAGCAAACCCGTTGCCATGGTAATGAAAGACAAGCAAGCCAATCAGAGGAGACGAATAACAACAAAGGACAAGGACATACCATTGCGTGGGGGTGGGTGTAGTGACTCCCACATCATAACCTTGTGCCAAGTCTGTTCGTTGACGTTGTTGTGGATAGCGACGACTGTCGACATGTCCTGTTCTTTTGGGTCCCATCTAGTGGCGAAGAGGTGCACATAGAGAGATGAATGCCGATGAACGGCGACAATACAATCAGGGATACACACAAGTATATACAACCCCAACACATGAAGCATAGAAATGAGGAGATGCACATAGACAAATGTTGCCAATAAACGGCACATCGCATTTGAACGAATCTAAGTAGGCGTAAAATGCCTCAATGCTATGACCAACGAGAACACTCGGAAGTAGACATCCCTACAACACCCCACAATCCCCGCCTGTCCAACCTATTCTAACCTATAAAGATCCTTTGCTTCAGACACATAGCCCAGGCTAACACACACACACACACACTCACATACCCCTTCTTGGCCATGGCATTATAGAACATCTGTGGCGACGGATACACCCACTTGTGCCCGTCCACGCGTGGTATCGTGCTGGTTACGCGCTCAGTCTCTAGCTTCTCTGTCTGCTTTGGATGCATGCTCTGCATACTCTCGGGTTTGTACATGTTATTCGTGGGGTCCAATTCTTCAGAGTTTGGGTCAGGGCTTTTGCACCCGAGTGTGGTGTCTTCAGGTGCACCTACGGGACACACTGCGTCGGTGCTACCGCTTGCGGTTGTGTCGACAGGACAACTCTCTGTGCGGTAGACAATGTATGGATAAGTTTGTGCGGGGTTGATGGACGGGTTGCAATGGTGACAACGCCTTGCATTGGTTGCTATGGTGACAACGCATTGTATAGGTTGCTCTAGTGACAACGCCTCACATTCATACATTGGCTTCGCGGGCAGCAGCTAATCCCAGACGGTTGCCTTGGTAACAGAATCGCGTGCCAACTTTGCACACTCCAAATGGACTGTAAATAGGTTCGTTAGCCTCGCACTCGCCGATCACACTTGTAATCAAACGCCTTGCTGCACCCCAAGACGTCACACGAACAAACCACACGTAGCACACCCATGAGCCACTCGCGTGAGAGGTCATGTGCATAGAACAGACAACCAAAGTGAAGCAGTACGTGCATCTCCAGATGAGGGAGTACTGCACATGTATAGCGCTAGACGTTTACCGGGACCTTCTTAAGTACTAAGTACCGTATCGATGAATATTTACTGAGATACCTCGCGGCTCTCGAATACATACTACCGACAAATAACCACATATCGTCTCTCGTACATATAATATTCACCACTCGCGCACAGGAGAGTTTATCTCCACTGCTGTGCCACGTAGCGTACTTCTATTTGAGTAGCGACTGATATATAT